TTCCACCCGACCGCCAACCCCAGATTCAACGCAGCTGGTTCAGCGCGCACTCACTAGATCCTTCCTCACCCGTTCCCTTGCCCCTAGATATCGAGGAAGAATTCGACGATGACCTCACAGCCTTCCTATCAGGCATCGACATCGTCGTGCCCGAACAACATCAACATCTGGCCTTTAATCCCTTGCTCGTCGGTGTCCCTTCGCCTAACCATATGATCCCCGATATGTGGCTTGGCATCATCGAGGAACGCGAGGATTACATCCTGCTTTACACAGGACCTGCATATGATGCAGGGGGTCTTTTGTACAGCCTATCGACGCAGCAAGTGGGCTACATGGCCTCCCCGTATTCCGAACCTGAAGACCTCTATTGGGACGATCTTCAGAATGCGCTGGAAATTTACTGGGACTGCGTCGAGTCGGGGAAATTCGTCATCGATGCAGAATACCTGGGAGATGAACTTACTACGCAGGGATGGAGGATACTCGAGTGGACTGGCCTTGAGCTGGAGGGCGCGCTGGAGGCGTGGCATAGTTTGGTGGACGCGATCACTAAACGCCTACCGGGACAAGGGAAAGATGACGACCCGGGAGCACACCAGGAGGAGAAGCAAGAAGAAGTGGACGCTGTTTTGGTATCATCTGAGATCTTGGAGAAATATCCGGCTATCCCGTCTTTCGCACGCGCATTCCTTTCTCGGGCGAAGAAGCCGACCTTTACTTCCATCGCTCCGCAACTGGACATTCCGACCGAAGCCTTCGTTCACCGTGTAGGTGCCAAATTACAGGAGCTACACCCCGACGCTTCCATCACCACTCCGGACTATGAAATGAGCTATATACCCAAATTTCTCTTGTTCCCGTGGCGGACACAAGGCCTCCAACTCGTTCTCGAGTCTGATCGTGACCGGTGGAAGGATAGACGGGGACATGCCCACACCCTTGATAACCGCGCCGGTCTGTATCTGACCCCCGATGGCACGCACACACACTCAATTTCTCTACTCCTGCCTTTCCCCATCGGAGCTAATGGCCACGTGCGCAAGAACAATGGAACTATTGTGAAGCCGAGCGACCAAGGTCAAGATGCTTTGTATCGGCATGGGGCGTGTACCCCATTTCTACCCACACATGGCACACCGTTGGCCGCTGTCCTAGTCAACTGGTGTGAACTGGTTGAGAAGGGAAATTGGCACGTTGATGAAAACGGCGTCGCAGGTGAAGAAGATGTATGGAAACAAGCGGATACGGAAGACAAGGCCGAGGATTACATGACAGATTGGAGTTGCTTTTGAGACAACCCTCAATCTATCATTCAACTGTACTGCTACGTGAAAGTGGCTACATCAGGCGTCAAAAGACGCCACTCATGGTTCCTTGCCGTCCTCTCTCCAGTACCTAGACATGGGCCTGCATATCCCTACACGCTCGTTTCACGCAATACTACCAATTTCTACCTTGCCACATCCTCGAATACCTAGGTTCTTACGCACCACAGGCCCCGCTGTGGCAATTGTCTTTCGCGCAATACACTTCGGTGTCTCCACAATATCCGCTACCTGTCGTTAGCTGATACATTCCACGGAGGGTGAATGTACTTACTAGTTGCTGCAACATTTTCCGAACGGCGTCCCGGCGCAAGTTTTGTCGCCTGGGAAATTCGGACCACAAGAGCCATCCGTGCTTGGACCTCCTAAAGTTTGGTCGCAGTCGCCACTATGGCAACTTCCTTGCGCACAGTGATCTGCCGAGTCTCCGCACCAGCCGTAGATACTGCAGCATTTTCCGAACGAGCTCTCGCCGCATATCCAGTCGTAGTGGGCTGGACCACAACTACCGTCGGGGGTTTCAGATCCTGCACCTGGCATACAATCTCCTGAATAACAATTCTTGGGCCCGCATTCGGCTTCAGTGGACCCACAAATACCGGAAGTCGAACAACACTTGCCGAAGGTTGTGTCGCTACAGGTTGCGAAGTCGAACTCTGGTCCACATTTTCCGTTCTCGGATACAGGTGGGACGACTACCTTGGCGACGCAGACAGAAGACTTGGCCCACAAGTTCATGCAATCCTTGGACAGGTATTTGTTGTACTGGAAAAGTTGCTCGACGGTGATACCGAAACGAATCGCGATTGTCTGGCAAATGTCGTTCTCCACGACATCATAATAGCGACCGCAATCTGCGATGGTGCCACTCTGAGTTGGTTGCGCGGGTTGCGCGGTTGAGTAATATGTCCCCTCAGTAGGAGCGACTATTGGATCTGGCATGAGGTACGCGCCGCCCGGAGGACCTCGACAGACCTGTTGTACGTCCTGTAGATTATCGCAGGGGCCTAGGATGTACGGATTCCACACCAAGAATTGAGTCATCGTAATGTTAGTACCGAAATTGTTGTTGATCTGGTCCACGACTGAGGGGCAAGTTTGTCCACCATTGACCATATGGAGATCACATTTTGGAGGCAAACAGAGTGGAGCTGTTGTTAGGCAACCGGGGCCACTAAGCTGTCGCAAAGTACCGAATGGCACTTGGTAGTCTTCGGCCAACTTCCTACAGCTCGACTGTTCGGTCTGCACCGGAAGTAGTTCGCCAGCGCACGTTGTTTGAGCTGGTGTGCTCGTAGTAGGAGTAGGTGCGGGTGTTGCCTTGGTCAGAACTCCGCTGAAAGTAGTAGCAGGCGTATCGATCGAACACAATGTCTGAAGATCCCTGTAGTTGGACATCAGGAACCTCTTCTGTTCTTCGCCGAAAAGTACTGGTGATTTCAGGCGTTGCTGCCATAATTTGACGAAACAATCGTCGCATAGCTATCTCATTGCGTCAGCCGGGGCTTTGCCTACGCTCGTGCAGGTACGTACCAAGTCTTTATCGTAAAGACCAACTATATCAGTGTCGTTGATGCTATATTCCGGAAGGAAGCTCGACTCATAGCACTCAGGTGGGTCATATTCTGGATCACCAATCAAGCAATAGTCCTCTGGATACTGCGCGAAGTCTTTCCCTTCCCAGTCATACGTTTCCGGGATGCACCAAGAGCCCGAGCTAGAATTCGTATCAGCCTCTAGCTACCGTTGACAATGATGGATTCCGGAACTTACGATGACTGTAAGCAAGCAGTGTTGAAGCCGTTCAAGTACCGCAGAGGGAAGTATGTCGCATAAGCTTCCTTTCCTGCAACGGGAACTGTTTGTTCAGCACAAGCTTCTTCCACACGCGCGAGCCAGGATTCGAGATCGCTTGCGCATGCTGTAGTGCATAAGTCAGTCAAGTTCTGGCTTGACCAGACATAATCGTCGACATCGAGCGCGTTGACAATGTTGTATGGATCGCACCCTAAAGTGGAGTTTCTGGACAATTCTTCAGCTGGAGCTACACCCACCAGGTCTGTCCACAGGAGCTTACATTGCATCGAAACACGTTTCCGAAATCTCATACGCTGCAACAAGCGCTTGTTTGTTGATTGACGGAAGATAAAGATGGAACGCAGTGCTGAAGCTCGGCAAGGTCATAAAAAATAAAGATACGGCATGCCGGACGCGCAACATCTTGACAATGGTAGTACGCCAGGTCTCGGAGCAAGAAATTCGTTACAACCTCACTTGTTTTATCGCAACTCTCGCGCTGGACAATGCGGTCGGCTCGAGCGGCACGAACCCAGGCATTTCAATGGTGCCGATACAATGGAGTTGTTTGCCCGCCTCAAGATCACATGCCTGCCAAGCGTAGGATCCGGAAGAAGGTTTGCTAGATTTTCTGCGGTGGCACCGGAATGGGCAACTGCTAGGACGTGCATTGATTGTCCCTGCATCTCTATCCCTAAAGTGCTTTTCAGACTTCGTCGGGTCCCACTTTTACTTTAATCGGCTCGGCTCGGCACGGACACATGAACAGCCTGAGTCGACTTGGAGGCCTTCTGTCAAGTCAATGCCACTAGTGCGGGCGCTTAAGGTGGCAGACTGCCACGATAGTGCGTTGAAGGATGACATTCGAAGGATCAGACTCTGTCAATGCTCAGGCTGTTGACTTGGCGGGTAGCGTTGCGTATGGCAGTCTTCTTGGGTTCACATGTGGAATTTCCAAACCCCAAGAGCATATCTTTCGAAACGAAGCTGAGAATCTGTTGAGGCTTTTGCCCATGCATTCTAGCTGTTCGTCATGAAGAACAAAACCTTTTCAGTCTTTCGCAGACTGATACTCATCTGCATATGTTTTCTATCCATCACGGCTTTGAGCACCGGTAATCTTTCACGTGTTGCTGTCCAGCACAATGGCTCAGAGCTTTACGAGCCGCTCTTCATTCCTCCCTCGAATTCCACTCCGCGCTTCTTGAATTCGACGAAGAAGGAAACGAACCCACGGGTGGCCGCGGCTGTGGCGTTGAATGGAGGTGGTATATCCGACAACACGCGGTCAGTTACCCTTGTATGATGCGCTCCATCCTAGTGTTCTGATAGTAGACAGGGTCAACAGCTTGCGGCGAGCAACTCGCATAGATCAGCCCGAAGGTACATGTGGGCCTGGAATGCCGTGTAAGAATGGGGCATGCTGCCGTAATGACGGCCTTTGTGGCTACTGTGACGAGTTTTGCTCAGCCAAAGTCTGCCTTTCTAACTGCGAAGCCCAAGCTGAATGCGGGCGCTGCGCTCCTTCAGGCCAAAGAGAATGCCCGCTCAAAGTTTGCTGCAGCGAATTCGGCTTCTGTGGCACTACTGCAGATTTCTGCGATCTCGACAAAGGCTGCCAGACTGCGTTTGGCGGATGTGGGCCTCCTCCCAAAGCGACTTGTACACTTTACACTTCCAAGATCAGAAACATTGCTTACTACGAGTCCTGGGCGACGACTAGAGCGTGCGATAAGGTGGCTCCTGAAGACTTGGACCTGACAGGCCTCACACACGTCAACTTCGGTGAATCGAATCAGCCCTTTCTCCCACGTGAAAGCTAATAAGTTCCCAGCTTTCGCATTTTTCAACCCTACGACCTTCGAGATTGCTCCAATGGATGCCAATGCTGGCAAGTTGTATTCCAGGTTCACAAATCTGAAGCACCAGTTTACGAACCTCGAGACTTGGGTAAGCGACCCGATGTACGAAGCACACGTGAGACACACACTGACCTAGTGCACCAACATATCAGATAGCTGTTGGTGGATGGTCATTCAACGACGAAACCAACCGACCCAATACACGCACCGCCTTCAGCGATATGGCTTCGACATCCGACAATCGCAAGAAGTTCATCGACTCTTTGATCAAGTTCATGCGAACATATGGCTTTGACGGCGCGGACTTTGACTGGGAATATCCAGGTGCAGACGATCGTGGGGGCAGACCTGAGGATGGTGACAACTTCGTACAACTTGTCAAAGAGATGAAGGAGGCCTTTGGCGGTAGTTACGGCATCTCAGTCACGTTGCCCGCGAGTTACTGGTATCTCCGTCACTTCAAAGTGAAGGAGATGGAGCCATACATTGGATGGTACGTACCTGGTCACGAATCCTCTGTGGAGATACTAATATCATCATATAGGTTCAACGTCATGACATATGATATCCATGGTGTCTGGGACTCCAGTAACGAGAACGTCGGTCCCTACGCCCGCCCGCATTCGAACTTGACCGAAATCGATAACGGACTGCAACTTCTCTGGCGAGCGAGCGTAAAGCCCGAGAATGTTGTATTGGGCCTGGGCTTCTATGGAAGGAGTTTCACACTATCTGATCCAAGTTGTAACAAGCCCGGTTGTCCTTTCTCGGCCGGCGGAAAGCCTGGGAAGTGTAGTAAGGCATCCGGAGTCCTGACGAACGCTGAAATCAAGCGCGTCATCAACGCGAATGATGTCACGCCGATGTACGACAAGGCTGCTGCGGTGAAGTGGATAACGTGGAATTCGAATCAGTGGGTAAGCTACGATGACGAGACGACGCTGCAACAGAAACGGAACTATGCCGAAGAGAATTGCCTCGGCGGCACCATGATCTGGGCCATCGATCAAGATTCGGCGGACGGAGATTCGATGAACGATTTCCTGGGTACTGCCAACGCCGGTATATTTGCCGAAGATGCCGTGAGCGCGCCTTTGAAACTCAAGAAAGCGATCAAAGAAACACAACAAGGCATGGCGTGCTACACCAGCTTCTGCAATACCCAATGCCAAAAAGGGTTCGTAGCTGTGACCAGTGCCAGAGGTCAGGTCCCCGATTTCCAGTTCGATACTTCGTGCAAGGGCGAAACTTTCCGGGACGGCGGACAGTTTATCTGCTGCCCAAGCTCTGCTTTGAACAGCGACGACAAACCGGGCAAGTGTGAGTGGAGAGGGTACAAAGGCAGTGGTTTCGCCTGTCAGCGTGGATGTAATGACGACGAGATCGAAGTTGCCGCAAACAGTGCGGTAGCATCACAAGTCACAACACCATTTGGAAGTTTCGTCCAAGTTGCGCACACATGCACCGGAGGATCGCAGAGTTATTGTTGCTCAAACTACGATCTCACTATTATGGCAGGCTCGCCTGCCAACGTACTCCAGACCAACAATTATCAAGCTATCTCTGCGAAGGAACTTTCAACAAGGGAGATCAGGGCGCGGGCCGCCGAACGAGGGCTTTGGGTGCTCGACGGCGAAACTATCGACCCGACCGACTACGGAGGCTCAGCACTCTCCAACTCAGGAGCCATAGAAATCACCGAATTGTACAGCGGAGCATCAGGCCTAGACTTCGTCGCTGGATATGGCACGGGGAGAGGGCAGCGTCAGAAGGCCGGGGCCTCCAACCTACAAGGAGGCGGTGGGCGTATCCAGAAGCCCAAGCCCGCAAAGCCGAAGCGTCCGTACAAGCCCAAGTTCGATGCTGATGGGAACAGGATATTAGGGAGATACGTGAAGAAGGAATTTGACCCGAAGAAGGATTCCGACTGCTTTGTCACCTACACATGCAATTACGGGTTAGGCTGGGACGAAGTCTGCGATAATCAACGTTATGGCGTTACCGAGATACTCGGAGGTCGCACGTCTTACAACATGAAGACTCCGTCCATTTCCGAACAGGACCGCAAGCAGACAACTTGGTCCCGTGATCATCACCCCAACTATCATCAATGGGGTACGACGATAGGACAGATCGACGGTACGCAGCGAACACGGTACTATTGCGAAGCAGATGAGTTTCCTCAGAACGCCCTGCAGGAAGCGTTTGGTGTGGATGCCCCCCAGGCGATACGGGAAGTAGACGGCATCCAGAATGCTGCCCATGGTCAAGGTCCGTAGATCATTCGCCTCCTCCTTGCACCCGACTGACTCCATCATCTCAGATTTCTACCAGTGGAAGGGGGCAGTATGGACTCCATGCAGTCGCTTACGATCGGTGTTGGGTAAGGCTCAGCCACCCGTCACATGGGCCTTCGACATGGACTCGGTTGATGCCGATGATGCCCGCCTGGACAATGCCGCTGGCTTCATAGCCCATTATGGTTTCAATTCGATGGACCCACCTGATCGATGCTTTGCTCGATTTACAGCCGGTGGTCGTGGAGTTACCATCAGTGATCACGGATTCCGCGTCGATAATGGAGACACCATGTTCTATCCTCCCCTTGATTGGAACAACGGGAATAAACAGAACTGGAAAAGGAACCCACTCACACTTGGGCCCCTTGATCTACCTACGGACGTGGATAGTGCCAACTATTTGCGAAAGCGTACACTGCTCCCAGATGTGGAACTACACGAGGCCCTTATCGAAGCGCATCTATGGGACTCGCCTCCTCCACCCGAGCCGACGCATCTGGATTGCCCTCCATCCAGGATCAGGCGCGCCATGCTGCAGCTTGACGCTGCCTCGCCTGCTTCACGACCAGCGTCGAGCGTGCCAATCCAAAGTGGCGTCGTCGAGAAGGATGAGATCAAGAAAGAAAATAATCAGAGGGGTTTTAGTGAATGGCGGAACGCTACAATAATTGACTCGGATGGTGCGCAATGAGGCAGCATCTAATGATTGTTGTGATCCTGGCAAGACGCTGGAACTGCTGGATGATATGAATCAACTGTATGCGTATTGCGACTGCATGGGATGGGGAGAAAGTGAGTAGACGCAACCAGCTTTGAGGGCATCACTAGGGGTAGCTAGACTTAGTGTTTCGTTCTACAAAGAAGACTGCAATACAGGAGCATACATCATCTTAGAGACTGTCGAGCTGTTGAAATGCCAGGTGATAGGCCAGGCCCGTTAGAGTAGATAGCTAACAGGTGTAAGTAAGCCCAACTACTGTAGTCTGTATTAGTAAAGATTTTCTACGTGCACAGCTAAAAGGAGGCATCTTATACTCTCTCTAGTAGTAGCAATATACTATAATAAATTATAAGAAGGCTATAAAAGAGAAGTAGAAGTGTAGGCTGTTACTTTGCAAAAATTATAACTCTTGCAGGGCTGCTGCGCAGGGGTTAGCAACTTTGTATTGTAATGTTTAGATTTAAGAGTGTGTATCAAGTAAGTGCGGCAGATTTGAATGGAAGATGGAAATAGTGAAAATGAGCCGTTGACGTAGGTAGAGCACTGGGTGATATGCCGGGTGATATTGACCTCGGGACCAAGCATACCTATGGAAATAGTCGCTACCGCGTTGGGCAGGGCTCAAGGCAGCGATCACATCTGGAGCTATCTGTCAGATCTAGATAAGCCGGAGATAAGGGCGGAAATACAGTCCATGACTATGCACTACTTCGTCGCGCTTCGTCGAGCTTCTTTGGTACACGTGAGTTGGCGAGCGAGGGTGCAGGCTAGAGTGGCGGGGCAGACTAGAAGCTCCGGGGCCCGTACCTAACCACAGGCACTGACGCAGTACTGCTCCACGGTTCGCGCCTCTTTCATTCCACGTCCTTGTACCAAAACGGCCACGGCCTATTTCTTTCTTTCTCTTTATACGTTAATCTACCCCACCGCCTCTCTACTGCTCGCACCTCTCCCTCAGCTGCGCCCATCACCGAAGCTCTCTGCAGCCTGAAGCCAGTACATCGCCATCATGGCCGACCAACCGCCCGAGCAACCAGAGCACCAAGACAAGGCCATGTCCGACCAACAAGACAACGCGACTTCTGAGCAGCAAGACAGTGCAATGCCTGATGCTGCACCGGCACCTGCACCTGCACCCGCTGCTGCGCCGGACGCCATGTCTGACGCCGACAAGGTGAGCTCACCTTCCGACCGCCTGTCAAAGAGACACGCTGACGAGGATATCTTCCAGATCCGTGCAAAGCGCCTTGCAAAGCTGGGCGGCCCTGCGACTCCAAACGGTCCTTCACGGCCGCCATCGACCGCACCCGAAGCCGCATCATCGGGCACTCCATCCCCAAAGCCCGCTGAATCACCGGCGCCACCACCGAATCCCACTCCGACCGCGAATCCCTTCTCCCAATTAGGCGTCAAGACCGACGAGCCGCCCAAGAAGCGCATCACCATCAAACCCGCACAGTCGTCGAGCAATGGCCCCGCACCGCAGCCCGCTCAGAAGGCGCCGGAATTGAGCATAGAAGCGTGGGAGGATCGGACAATCAGCAGCATCTTCAGGGTCACTCTGGACGAGAGCCATACGCAAGATGCACACGGACACAAGCTACACTTTGCCGAAAGCGCCAGACGTGATCTTGAGGAACAGGGCAGGCCAATCCGCTTGACTACAGATCAACTGGATTCCGTCATAATGGAAGCAGCGTCAGAAAAGCACCAGGGCTATGCGTTGGAATATACGATGAGTTGCTGGAAACGCGTTTCCAAAGCGCTCAAGAACCTCGCGAATAAGACTGGTCCACGGTTCGAAGTTGTCAAAGAGGCCCGGCGAGTGTGCTTCAGCTATTGCATGTTTGCAGCTAGCATGCCAGAAATGTTCCAGGAAGACCCACCCGTGGAGAACGCACTGGCTGATCGCTTGCTACTCGGACCTGACGACGAGCGCGGCATCTGCTACGAGTTCCTCACTGAAGCGAGCCAGCGGATAGGCGAAGACGATATCATCAAGGACACACTTGTGGAAGCTATGGTGGATGTCAGCCGGCGCCTCTCCAAGGTTTCTATGAATGGAGACTACAAGGCACACATGTTGATCCTACGGGTATTCGTCCGATTTCCGCCGCTCGTAGCTGCCCTGGCGCAGTCTGAGACGTTTCTGCCTGCTTACATCGAGGCTCAGCATATCGAAACGCATAGCTTCTTAGGGCCCTTCTTCCGGTTATCTCCCATGCAGGCCGACGTAGCCATGAACTACTTCTCTGGCTCCGCGGCTGTCGACAAGGGACTCATCGTCAACGCGCAACGAGCTGTCCGCATGACACTTCAAACCCACCAAGAAGAACTGCTGGACATTACAAACACATTCATCAAGAACAAGGAATCTCGTGAGAAGATGCTAGACTGGTTAGCGCTTACAGTCAATAAGAACCACAAGAGGCGTGCGATACAGGTGGACAGGAAAACAGTATCATCAGACGGCTTCATGGTCAATGTCACAGTAATATTGGATCGTCTCTGTGAGCCTTTCATGGACGCCACCTTCTCCAAGATCGATCGCATCGACATTGACTACCTTCGCCGTTCACCTCGCGTTGATATCCAAGATGAAACAAAGATTAATGCCGACCAGAATGCATCGGATGAGTTCTACAGTACCAAAGCCTCAGGTACCAACAACTTCATCAGCGAGGTCTTCTTCTTGACGGTGGCTGCTCATCATTATGGTCTGGAGGCAGCCAATACCAAGTTGGGTACCCTTCAAAAGGACGTAAAGTACCTTGAGAAGGAGCTTGCTAAGCTCGAGCCCGAGCGACCCAAGTACATGACTAGTCAGGCGCAACTGGCCGTCTTTGACAACCACATCAAGAAGATGAAAGACCAGATCGAGAAGGCCAAGTGTAGCATCCTGGCCATTCAAGGTGTCTTGCTTGATGAGACTACACAAGCTCGGTCTATGCAATTGATGCGATACGTCATCGTGTGGCTGCTACGACTTGCCTCGCCCGGTACCAACTTCCCTAAGTCAGAGCTGCAGCTGCCCCTACCCGAAGAGCAACCACTGCAGTTTAGGTGTCTACCTGAATATTTCGTTGAAGACATTGTTGGAAACTTCAAGTTCATCACTCGCTACATGCCGCATATTATCACAACCACTCAGTGCGAGGAAATTGTCAAGATCTGCATTACCTTCTTGAGAAGCTCAGAGTACATCAAGAACCCATACTTAAAGTCTGGTCTTGTCACCATTCTGTTCCACGGAGTATGGGAGATTCACGGTAAGCCAAAGGGCGTGCTTGGCGACACACTATTTGCACACGACTTCGCCATGAAGCACTTGCTCCACGCACTGATGAAGTTCTACATCGAATGTGAGAGCACCGGAACACATACGCAGTTCTTTGACAAGTTCAACATTCGATACGAGATCTTCCAGGTCATCAAGTGCATCTGGCCGAACCCAGTGTACCGCGAGCATCTTGCGACTGAAGCGCGCGTCAACCTGGACTTCTTCGTTCAGTTCGTCAACTTGCTTCTGAACGATGTGACATTCGTCCTGGACGAGTCATTCACCGCTTTCAAGGAGATCCACGATCTATCCCGAGAGCTCAAGAACGCCCCGGCAAACATGGAGCAGACCGAGCGTCAAGAGAGGGAAGAAAAGCTGTCGTCGGCCCAGGGTAAAGCCAAGAGCTACATGCAACTCACCAACGAAACCGTGGCCATGTTGAAGCTCTTCACCGAAGCCCTCGCCGACTCCTTCACCAAAAAGGAAGTCGTCGTGCGCCTCGCCCACATGCTAGACTACAACCTCGAAGCCCTCGTCGGCCCCAAGAAATCCCAACTCAAAGTCGAAAACCCCGAAGAATACGGCTGGAACCCACGCAACATGCTCGCCGAAGTCACAGACGTCTACCTCAACCTCGAATCCAAACAATCCTTCATCGACGCCGTCGCCACAGACGGCCGCTCCTACCGCCCCGAATACATGGACGAAGCCTACAAGATCCTCCAACGCTTCAAACTGAAAACACCGGAGCAAATGACGCAGTGGGAAAACATGTCCGAGCGTATCAAAACCGCTAAAGAGCAAGCGGACATGGTCGAAGCTGATCTCGGAGAGATTCCAGACCAGTACCTCGATCCTATCCTGGCGTCGCTCATGGAAGACCCCGTTACGCTTCCTGTCAGCAAACAGATTGTTGATAGAGGTACTATCCAGGCGCATCTGCTGAGTGATCCGCATGACCCGTTTAATCGGACGCCGCTTAAGATTGAGGATGTCATTCCGAATGATGAGCTCAGGGAGGAGATTCAGAGTTGGAAGGCTAATTTGTTGGCGGAGAAGATGGCGGAGCGGAGTAAGGCGGCGGCGGCTGGGGCGGCGGCGGGCGAGGCTATGGATACGTCGTAGATCGTTGTTGTATGGTGAGGAGACAATGCGAGGGTGACATTGGCGTTTTTGGTCGAGTGTTTCGGGGAATCATGGGGAGGGAGGGTTTGCATGGGTATGGACGTCTAGGGTAGAGTTGACGATGATGTTCACGAGGTATACTGGGATCGATGCGGTACAGTGTCACGCCTTATTATGGAGGTCTGATAGACACGTGTGCGTGTCGTAGCGTTCTGGGAGATTATGCATTTTCTCCTGGTCAATGGAATGATATTGTCAAAGCTGTCTTGCTCCTCGGGTTTGTGGTGTGGATTTGCGTGATGCTAATGTTCTGGCTGTTCGTTTTGTTTCGGGTGATGTGCTGGTCTGGTCTTCGTGACTGAGTTTTGCGGCGGAGTCGTCTTGCTTCATTCAGCCTTTCTGTGGATAGGTGGGTTTTGACGCATTGTTTTTGAGGGTTGTATGTTGCTAAGAGTTCGTTAAAAGATATGGGGATACGCGGTGTCTTCCTGTGGTTGTTATGAGCTGCGAATAATTCGTACATCACAGCTGTTTCAATACATTTGCTTAAGTCATTCAAAAGCCTGTTGCAGATCTGATCGATTGGATGACGTCTGATTGTTCGGTTAACGACGCTTCTCGTTCGAGACGACCTGGGTGCGTTGGTGTGGTGTGGACGCGAGAAGCTTTGAGTACCGTGTTGGGTAATATCTGGGTGGTTTGAGGAAGTGCTGAAGTCGAGAGAGAAACGGAAGATAAGAGGCTGAGGTTGCCGAAGTATGACACTTTGTCATATGGGGTGGCAATGGTCGGACGTATGCCATGCTATTCCTTGCGTTGAGTTCGATTGCGTTGCTTCGCTACACTTGTACTCTTGAGGAGAGACTGGAGTCGATGCTTAAGCAGAGCCCACAACGCGGTCTAGTTAACGCAGTATTGTAACACAGTAAAGGGGCTATACTCAGCCCGTGATACGCAGTAGATAAGCAGTGAATGTTCGCGTCGCTACACTTGTACATAGGGATGCTTTTCCGGTATGGTCGAGATTGATCCTGTGGCAGTAATTGTGAAGAGTACGTCAGGTCGATGTGGAAGACATTGCCGCTGATTAGCTGAGCAACTCGAGCAATGTATAACTGCAGATAGAGACTAGTATATATTATTGAGGTGATTCCGGGCTGGAAGACACACGGTAATAGTATATTGTAGGTCATCGTGGCACCATAGTATGTTCGGCCGCGAACTCCCTGTATCTAGTATTGAGCTGACATGTTTATTACAATTCTTGCCATTCCTCCTTCCAGATCCAAAAATACCCCCTAAATCTCGTATCAAGACCTCGTCCAGTGCCCCAGGCACCCACCATACCAAACGGTGTCATTCGAGCTTCCCACTCACATGACAAGTCTTCTGAAAGATATCGTTTCGTCAAGAGAATATCTCCATCGTTGTGTCGCACGCGGCCTTCCAGTGAAAAGTCTCCGACAGAATCAGTCCCTCGACTCTGCGAATCGATAATCGTATATGTGGTGTAGCCGCCGACATCCCACTTTGGTGTATCGGTGTCTCGTGCGACAAGTTGTATACTGTGCATAAGTGGATCGAAACGTCTTCTTCCCAAGGCCCTTCGCTGGTCTGAGGAGTAACCCGTCCACTGCCCGGAAGAAAGGAAGTCGGGTGAGAGCATTTGAGCGTGGTATTCGCCGAACGGTACGTCGTCATCTTCATCTTCGTAAGCAGGTGCTGGATTCTTGGCGAAGATAGTCGGCAAGAAGTGCACGAATGAGTTGAAAGGTATTTTGGTAGGTGACGGGAGTGCGGTATCGTGCAATGGACTTGAACCATGTACAGCGAGTTCCAGCATAAAAGTGGGGAGCAGAGTCGTAGCTTGATCCAATCCGAATCCATCGCCATGTCTCCTGGGGAAAGCACCATAGTCCCGCACCCGCTGCCGAAGGCTCTTAATCGCATCTCCATCCAATCTCACGCCGTTACTCGCCACTATTGGTGGATCTTTTATGTGGTTCACGGAGAAGAAGCGGTCGAAGGGTGCTTTGACTTGCTTCCCGTTTCCCGTCATTCGCAGTTGCGTCAAGATAGTGTAGCTGAGGATGAAGTTGACATCGAGGAGGTTGGGTGAGTATTCATCTGATTGGAAGTGAACCTGTAAGCGGCCTTGAAGCTCCAGGAATGTTTCGGGCTTGAGCTGTGCAGTTACAGGATGGTGCAAAGCCATGATATGCGGTAGCCATCTACTCAGTTCATATGAATCGACCTCCTTGGCTTTGCGTAGGGTCCATGTGTCGCCGCTCTCGAGCAGAGCCCCGATGCATCTCTCCGCTGCATATGCGATGCGGATCGTCTCTTGTAGGGTCGTTGTGGCTAAGACGGAGTCGGCTTCCGCCCAATGGGTTTCCGATAGTTCTATGCCATTTTCAGAGAGCAGGGGCTGTCCTAAATTGTACTTTGCAATGTTGTGGAATACTATTCTGTCATTGCAGACGGTTCGCAATTGTCGATTGGCTCTAGAAAGATTGAGGGCTGACGAGCAGGGCAGAAAAGATGCGATATGCTGTGTGAGCTCATTGGGAAGTAACAGCAAGCTTGTCATAGCCGCTGTGTGATGTGGCTGAATGGCGAATCGAAGATCATGAGAGGAGTTATGACGATGTTTGCAGGGGGTTGACGGGTAGCGCGGCGTTAGCGCACGTGACGATAACGATAAGAGACCTGTCCACGAGTGCGTGCGAGGGCGACGTGACATTTCACAGCGTCAACACACCGACAGACGCGCCTAAAATGCTTCCAGATAACATCGCCAACAGCTACCGAGAGTATAAAGCTGATACCGAGATCTTTGTTACGTGGCTTGTTGAAACGGCTAGTCGTTGTGGCTTCGTCCCTTCTACCACTGCGCCAGCGCAAGCTACTGCTGCAGCTACTGGTGGTCGACTCAAGGGAAAGCGCGCGCGGCTGAACCCCAAGTCAGGTCTTCACAAGCACGCAAAATCACCATCAATGATCTGAAAACATGCGCCACTGCCGTAGCGGAGAAACCCCCCAAAAGGTTTGCGGTGCCACTCTACGCCAGCAGAGCCGCAGCTCGAGCAATCCGCCATCGCACCAAGTCGACGCTATGGCACGAAACCCAGACTCAAAACGTAGATGAAGACCTACAGCACGCATTCGCTGCTAGCAACGAGGCACATGCTACCTTCACAGGGACTTTAGAGTACGCACTTGATCTACTGAAGCCTTTCATCACTACTGGTAAAGCGATACTCAAGCCCGATGAGCATATAACGCCACCATCCGTGAATGGTTTGAACACCAGGTTCAGCTCGCTTGAAATTGAGGATCTGGCAGACCAGGAGCCGGAAAGTGGTGGACAGGCAGCCGCCACTGCCAAACCGGCACCAACTTCGAAGACGACATACACTGTCGACAACCAAAAGGACGACTGTTTGATTGCCATGAGCATGCTGATGCGCGATTATAATCAGATCAAGGTCGTCATCCAAACAACCTGGGCTCGTTATTACCGGAAGGACACCGACCTTGTTTCGACTGCGGCAACGACTCAAGCGGCTATGCAGATGATAAAGAGCTTAGTGCATGAGTTTTCGCTTTCCTTCCCCGAGATAAGAAACGTTGAGAGCTTTTGGCATACGTTCTTCGCTGATTCTGAGATCTGCAAGACTATGAGGAGAGATACGGACGAGATCCGAGCGATGCAACACACACTTAGAGGGAATGAAAGGCGCTGTGAAGTCAAGATCCCGGATGTCTTGCTGACCTATGGATGTCTGCAATCTTACATTCACATCTGGGATGTATTGCAACACATCGAGCCCTATGTCGATTCAGGGGATGTTGCCTATCTTACCTCCCCTGACCGTAAATTACAACAGCTCTCAAACGCCCTCGATGATATCGTATGGATGATAAGACGGGTGGATAAACAACTGCCTACTATGGATAACTTTACACTGGCATGGTATACATACCTAAATCGACGCATCTGCGAGGACCTTAAGCCTACGGACCAGACCCGCTATGGAGGAAGCATTTCCCTAGAGATGTGGCTGTATACCGATCTCTACCTAGTCGCACAGGATGTTGTCTCAAGTCAGAACCCTGGCCTAGTGCTGGAAGATTATCAGAACATATGGACGTACGTTGACAGGGGCGGGTTTTTACAGGACGTGTTGACGACATCACTGCTTTTGGAGAGTCCATGGGGACGTGCAAACCTAAACTCCTTCTTTCGCGACCCTTCCGATGCGATGGAACGGCTGATCTGGTTGAGTTCAGACCCAATCTGGAACTCTCGCTTAGCGAGTGTCCGGCAAACCCATGGTCACGACGAGACCTGGTCGCCGGAAACATATGAAAACCGCAACCACTCCGATTGGGTCACCATGAATCCGTTCCTTGCTGGAACGATCTCGTTTGTGGTCATGCATGCTGCTAATAACCTACTCCTTCTTATGCAGAACGGCAATGGACTTGTACTGGGATATGCGCACCTTTACAACTTCCTTCATAACGTCCATAGCGCAAATGAGGCAGATTCGTCGGAGAAGTTAGTTACGAAAGAGTGGAAAGATATCGACAATGCAATTGCACTGCTTGGAGAGTCCATTATCTTCATGGGCAGTAGACCGACAGCACTCGACCAGTGTACCAATCGCCTGGTTCGCGCGCATGGAATAAAGGTGAGTGATATTGCGCGTACCAATAGCCGTGGCAAGAAGAAGCAAATTGTTAGTGTGGGTGGTAAAATGAGCGTCCACAGCACTCCACTCATCAACCTCCTCATTTCGGATGGCGGACCTAGCAACACAACATTCCTCAATATTACAAATCGAGCCATCTCGGAGCTGCTCATGAAGGAGACCGAGACCTACAATAGCGACATACTTCCTCAGAAGCTTTTCAGTAGGCCTGAGGTAGCTGGGCCTCTTTTCATGCTCCGTGTGCTTCTCCAGCGCGAGTTGCCAGCGCTTCTTTTCTCGCTTGAACAACTACATCTCAGTTGTAAAGAGCTTAACGGTTGGATATTTGAGGCCTTGAGATCCGCAATGACGCAGCAACACATCCGGCCCAAAATAATGCTAGACTGGAAAGAGGACGGAGCCATACCAGCGAACCTCCTGTGGCACGAAAGAACACATCACAAAAAGAATCAGAGTTCTGGATTGATCAACCAAGACGTGACTGGAGTGCACAGTCTTCCTATTCACGAAGCAGCGGAGATAATGACGAGGTTTCTAGACGAGCAAGATGGTCGCACAGGACATAGCCTTGCTGAGCATTCCACCTTGGCTTTCAACCATCACGTAGAGTAAGTGAGGGATAAGCACCGACACATACACTACGGCTAACCTATTTTGCACAGGCAGTTTCGTCTTCCGAATCCTTTGCGGCAGAGTGCTGCTGACATATCTCGTCTTCTGGGGATACGGGTTCGCGTTGATGCAAAACTCAGTCATAAAACCTTCGAAGCTGCACTCTATTCTGAAGCATATACATGGAAGTCACTACCAGGTCCACATGATGAGTATGTTGCGGGACTGAGGTCGGTTGAGGGAGAAGACGCGAAGCTGAAAAGTGGCGAGGCCTACTTTGTTCCAGTCAAAGCTGGTGGTGAAATTGAAGTGGCCGCTTAGAACTTCGCATGTCAAGGTCGGATGTAGAGTACATTGCGTAATAGGAATAGGAGTGTGGTGCCGACAAGGCGCGGATGTGAATGTAAAGCCATTCTTCGTTGGTACTGATTTGGCATGTGTACAGACTATCCAAGCTACATTTGACGACGATCGTTTGAAGCAAGAAATAATACATACGAAAGCGCCGTCGAACCGAAAATTCTCAACGATCTGCTAAGCGCAGTTCGCGGAAGATCTGCACCGGACCATCCAAAAGATCTAAGTAGAATCCCGACACGTAAAATTGTTGTTGCTTACAATCCATAGCGGGTACATGTTTGGCAACAGGCAAAGGTCAGATAGCAACGCCGATCCCTAGCTCATGCTCGGTGGGTCTAGATACCACAACAGGGCCACTTATAGCATCGCTAAGACGAAAGATAAGGTCCCTGCCTTGCATGTTTTCAAATGTACACAGCACAAATGAGAAGCGCCACCCACCTTTTTCGAGACCACTTTCGAGAACTTCTTGGACATATGCAACCGCTTTGAAGGCGTCGGTTGTGATTGACCCATCTTTCAGAGGAAACCTTAATGTTTTGACTTCCTGTATGAATGGGCTGAAGTTCCTGAAAACAAGTCCAACCATGGGGCGATTATGGTCTGGGTTCAACTTTGCTATTTGGCGTGAGCTTGTCGCGGCCCTATCACGAAGCTCTTTGAAAGAGTGAGATCTCACGCCGTAGTCATGAAGGTCGAAGAAGAACACAAGCGCAGTCTCCTCTCCAAAAGTTTCGATGTCTTCACTGACAGTTGCTACTGTCTCAGGAGCGCCGCGAGCGAACTGGTAGGTGATGTTTTGCAGAACTGATTCCTTGGAAAAGGCAAGTGCTGAATTCTCTGCCCTAAGAAGATCTGCCAGTTTGGGAGCGCGTAAACATAGCTCGGTAGGAATTGCTGGTAGAGCGTGGTCCATTAGGTGGATGAAGCTAGCGAACTGTCAACTTCTGATCGTGCGAAAGTACAAGAAGACGTACAGTCGTGCTAAGTAGTTGCCACCGGCAACCTTTACTCTATGGTTAGGTCTTGAGTGGACCCAAAAGACCATGTTTCCCATTTTGATTTCCTTTCGAGAAGACCCATAAGCAGCAGGATCCTCCTGGTCAAATTGCGTTGCGTTTCTCCAGAATGATGCAAAAGCTTCGAGAGCTTCAGGCCGCATGAAAGGTAACCACCCATTCAAATCAGAGCGTTCTTTGAGATATGATACAAGAACATCCCTGTTATCAAGATCGCAGGAATCTGAGCATGTTTCGATGATGTCGCATGCAAGGGCCGACCAAATGTCCCGCAATCTCTTCTGGTACAGAATCCAGTGGTGGCTCTGCCAGGCTCGATCTGTCTGAATACTATTGATGAGCAAATCCATGCCAATCTGATCTGGCCCTAGGAGACGAAGGTTTATCAGTCGCGTCGGTATTGGCGCGACTACCGTCTTGACTGAAGTTGGTACAGAATCTTTCACGGCGTACTGTCGTCTCTTTAGAACGTCTCTGATTGACCCTCGGAATGCGCGCTCGTAGACCCCCGTTGAGAAGATGTTCGAGTCGAATTCGAAGATGCGCGAAATCTTGGACAGATTGTCCGTCATCCTGCTAGTGAGAGATGCTGTGTCATGGTGGACATACAGCGATGCTGAGTCCATTTTCGCCTGCTGAAGCACTTTGCGTGTTTTGTTGGTCTCGAGATATCTTTGTTGTGCCGTGATTGTTTTACTATGAATTATAGTCAGCGTTGTCGAATTACCCCATGTCGTAATATTCACCAGTTACACGCTGTGAGCAACAGAGTCAGGGCACTCGTCTGATGCTCTATGAGCTTTTGCACGCCATCCGGACCGCTACTCCCAAATGCAACCTTCAATCTATCGCGAAGATCCAACGGTTTCTCGATTAGCTGAGCCAGGTTGGAGAAGAAGCTTTCAACCTTATCCATGAGCAATTTGCAGCAAGATATCGAGACGTCTAGATCCATGATCAATTGATGGTGTGTGTCTTGCAGATCTTGTTCCATCCATTCCTGGATTTTGGCTGAGGCAGCCCGTAAGGCTGTGAGCTGAGATGCCAAGCTGAGTAAAGTAAGATCGGCTTCCCCCCATCTGGCCTGGAGATCTCTGATTACACCGATCACTTTACTGATCCCATCCACAATGCTGAAGATTGAACCCACTCCACCTAGAATGCCGATGCACAGATCAGTATTCACATAAAATACAATTACAACGTCAAAGACCTTACCGAGAACAGCGATGACTTCAGCCATCTGTATGACGCATGTCAGCCTTGTGACGTAATGACACACTTCTTGCCAGGATCAAAATGCTAATGAACTTGTAGCAGTAGAGGTTCCTCGACGAAAATTACCAAGAGTACGAAACAGGAGATCGGATGATTGCGTCTCCGAAGGAAAAAGGAGTAGTGAGGGAGCGGAGCGCAATACACAGAGTGAAGCGCAAGGCAACACACAGCCCCCGCTAGGCCAATTGAGTTCGGCCCCATCAAAACGTGATTCGCTCGGCTATTACCCAGCAAAGTGCTGCAACTGTGTTTGCTGAGATGCGAGTCGTATGTGAGAAGGGGGACAGCGTTGATAGGTACGCGAGCATGCAGTATTCAACTCTCGCGGATATTTATGACCAGATATACAGCCTATCGACATGCAAACGAAGCCGCCTGATCAGGTTCGCCTCCAACGTATACCATATGCTTGGGCCATAAGCAAAGCTGCGCCTTCCTACCCTGCGTAGTCTCCGCTTCCAGCATCTCAGGTGCCACGCCCTTTTCTACCCAATCGATGAGGGATTTAAGACCATTGCCAGGATACCAACCCAGCCCACCGCCGCAGTGATCCACACCAGGCGCCTCAAAGTAGCGATAGTAATCACTGGAATTCGGATCACGCTCATGCACCTCCTGCGCATAATGCGCAGTCGCATCAGGCGCGATAGCCTGATCGGCCAACCCATGCCACGAAAGGAGCTTGCCACCTGCTTTCCGAAACCCGTCGAGATCTGTGTTTGCGGTTCCGATAACAGAGTCGTAGCGGGCTACAGCATCATGGAAAAGCTGCTCGAAATACGTGATGTTCATTCGTGCGGTGTCGTATTCGCGGTCGCGGATGACAAAGTCGGTAATCCAGGTTTGAGGTACGGCAAACGGTACGCCAACGCATGTATTGTTCTTGGTGCATGTTGTTGATGCGAGGCCAGCGAATGAAGCCCCGATGTTGCCGGGGTACCACAGGAAGTCGCCTTCGGGAGTTGTTGCGCCTTGCCATATCAACTTGGCTACCTTGGCAAGGGAATTCGTGATGGTCATGCTCTGGTTGGTAGAGGGACAGATGTATTGTTTGCCGACGACAGTCATTGGGTCAAAGGTGCATTCTTGAGGTGCCAATATGATGCTGTCCTCCAGACCATCGAGACCATCGCAGGCTTCGGCAACAGCAACGTTGAGAGCCTCAAATTCCTGCGGAGTCGGAAACCCTGTTGTATGTTAGTCATTCATCTCTAGCCGTTGTTTGAGTACTGACCGTTCTCGTTCATGACAACCTGCGGCCAGAAGAGTTGCATCATCAACTCGTTCCAGTAAATAGCTGGTGCAGCCGCCAAGATACCATCATACTGATTGGGATACTTCTGTGCCATCATGTAACCTTGTCTGCCACCCTGCGAACATCCATTCCAATAGCTATAGCTCGGTGCTTTGCCATAGTAAGAATGAGTGACCGCCTTTGCCAGCGTCGCGGCATCATCTAAAGAGATTGAGGCAAGGTCTTCTAGCAACACCCAGTCGACCTTGCCAGAGTTAGTGAGCGACCAGCTGATATCCTGCCCGATGTGACCTCCGTCTGTCGCGACGGTAACGAAACCCTCACTGGCCGCCCATGGGAGTGTGGTGTTGCTGTCGGGTCCCGCAGCCCATCCTCCACCACCGGCGCCCAAGAGTCTTCCTGTCCACTTCTCAGGCGAGGGTAGCCAAACGACCGTGTGGATAGTGTCATTGGAGCCGGGATGCGTGTACGTGATGATCACTTCACAAGCGTTCAGATCGGTCACGGCAGTGGCGTAATGGTTCTGCTCCGCGGGCGCTTGGAATGATAAGTTCGTGTGTGTTTTTGTAGCAACGTCGAGAATTTCGCCGCCTGGCAGCTCCAGATTTTGGAAGGAAGAAGCTTCGCAGACTGGTTCTCCGAAGGCTGGGCATATCAGGAAAGCCAATATAGGAATGAGGGAAATGAGACTTCGTCTCTTCCATGGAGTTGTGTGCTGCATCGTAGTCGCAGGAAAGACTGAGAAAGCTACTCGTCGAGAGGCACTTACACTGCATACATTGCTTCCTTTACTTATAGCAAGCGCATACTGGGCTCATTCGCATATTCATCCTGAACCGAAGGATTCAACTGAATACCCATAGGGATACCTACGTTGGTCAGTTTGCGACAAAGGCTGAGGCCATGCCAATATGAAAGGAGTATCAGCTGCCATCAGGCGCTCTACTGCCATCCAATCGTGACAATGATCGATTCTAGCGTGTCTCTCGATTGTGATATGCAAATTGGTGGACAATGGCTGAGTCATGTATTCATGACTTGAGCCGCGCCTCAAGCTTTTGAAACAAAGGGCGTTTAATCTAAACCCC